TGAACGACCTACGCTCTGCAGAGCACCTACAGAGGAGCAATGCACTACATGGCAGGACTGTAAGGAGAAAGACTGTGGTAGAAGAAGACTGTAAGGAGTGTGTGTGTGAAACTGAGACTACCTGCTGCTTTTCCATGGCAGGAAATGGCCTCTTCATACTTCCCAGCAGCTACCAAACGGTCGGCCTGTCTGCACTGCTGGTGAGCCTGAAGAACGTAAGACAGGGAATGCAATGTGTTACGAGAATGTTAAAGAGGTGGTGGAAGGAAACCAGGGATAATATATGAAGCAAAAATACTAAACAGAGACTAGCTTGTCATACGTGACAATGAACATTAATGCTATGAAAATGAGACTGATGGTCCGATAGAATCTGTTTGAAGACTTTAAGTCTTTAGATCCGATAAATTGGATTTTATGTGATTTACTGTGATTTTTGTTTTTTGTTCCTGACATGTTACACTAGCTGGTAGTTCGACTGTAATCTCTACAGCATGCTACAGGTGGTGTTAGAACTGTGTGTGAATCTTAATCAACATGTTTACATGACAGAGAAAACATGTTTCACTCAATCACTGATCAAACACAAAGATAAAACTGAGTGTCTCACCTGCTCACACGCGGGTGCCTTCATCGCCTCAGTCAGAAAATCTGGTAGTGAGACAGAGAGAGAGGAGAGAGCGATGAGACAGAATACACACCTAACACACACACAGTATATTGGATTAAACATACAGTTTAATATCTGGTCATCACAATAAGACAGGGACACAGTACTTGTTGCGCTGGATTTCTATTTCAGCACTGGATTGGAGTGAAGTGGATGTAGTAAAAACCCCAAACCCAACAACACCACCCTTCCTCAGACGCTTTCTTATAAGATGTTACCATGGCTACAACGTAAAAGTATATAGAAAGTAGGGCTGCCACAAACGACTATTTTGATAGTCGACTAGTCACCGATTATTTTTGCGATTAGTCGACTAGTCAGATCATGCATCCATTGGACGTGAAACGTACAGCTTATTGCAAGACAATCGACACTCAGTCTTTACCTCTCATGTC